ACTGATCTTGCATGTCGACGGTGAACGTCAAGCCATGTGTTAAGTTAATTCGTATGGTGGGTAAGTGTTTTTTGGTTCTTACAATAATATTGTTAATAATAGATTGATTTCCTAGTCAACCTACTCTAGATATCAGTTTTATTAAAATATATTATTTACTAAGTGCCTACAGTAGTCATGCTCTCTTAATATCTCTGCGGCGGTGTCGTATGCAAAGTGTAACGTACAAATGTGTAGTTATTAATAGGTCGCTACGTTACCTGAAATATAGTAGTATAGTTGAAATTAAAAAAGCAGCCCTTGCTGAGATTCTTGCCGATGTTTGTCAGTACAAAATCTCCCGCCTTAGTTTTGCGAACCATTGGCAAAGTTTTCGACTGTCCCAAGTACTATGTAACAACCTAGACTGAATTGATTTTGATATTTATATAGATATAATTCGTTTTGTGGATAATATCATTTGTGTTATGTATGTTTATGTAATCTATTATTGATATATTTTTATACAGTTCTTATGTAGGGATATCAATAGCATAATGTACATGTCAATATTTGTGATGTCTGTCGCCACTTTAAGTTTTGTACTTTTACTGATTGACCGATAGAGAATGCCTCTTTGGCATTAAGCCCGCTTTTTGTCTATTTCACTAGGCAATTAAGATTAATTAAATAAATAAATAAGATTAAATCAATATATCATATTTCACAAGATAATTAAACTTTAATGTCGATAAAATAATAATTACATTTTTAGCGGGAGATCTCGTACTGACAACAATCGGCAAGAAACTCAGTAAGGGCTGTTTTTTTAATTTCAACTATACTATATTTGAGGGAACGTAATGACCTCACGCACACGACACCACCGCAGAGATTTTTATAGAGCATGATTACTCTAGGTACTCAGGAAATAATATATTTCAATAAAACTGATTTCTAGAGTAGGTTGTGTAGGAAGTCAATCTATTATTATTATTAACAATATTATTGTAAGAACCAAAAAGCACATAACCACCGTACCAATTAACTTAACACTTGGCTCGACATTCGCTGTCGACATGCAAGAGCAGTAGCAATAGTATAATAACTGTACGTGTCTTTGTGATTTTGAAATTTAAAGTTATACACTTGTTGTTCGTTTAGAACAGACGTTTCTTGTTGATTGCTGAATGTTTATTAAGATGATTTAATTATGAATATAAGATTTAATAAATGATCACAGTTTTTTAAAGTCATAATTTTGAAATCACAAATTATTTGCACGTTACACTTTGCACAAATATATACTTATCGGGTAAGTATATAGATAATAAACGGATTTTTTATTATAATAGGGTATTTGACACTATCAAAAATAAGTTGCATTTTGTGGTCATCCTGATAGATAATAATCTAATAAAGCTTATTTCTTAACATCTGCAGAAAAAACATGTTTAGATTTAGTAAAATAACGTAATCATTTATCTGTAAGTCGACTGTCTGTAAAATGCGAGCCCTGTCAACAGATATAAATGAGTCGTATAATGTTTATGATATAGAAAAAAAAAACAAAAAGAAAACCTTTAAATGTATCGATATGAAATAAAAAAGTTTCAATACTTTTAATGAATCCTTACCTAATTTTTATCACCCATCTTTACTCTATATAGCTACTAATCTATTGTGATTGTGAATCTATTTTCTTCTAGACTCGAAGTTTGTATGTTATTTATAGAAGTATTAGTACATTGTGGCACTACGCACCACTTGTAGCTCATTTTATAAAGAAAAGTAGAGGAAAATAAAGAACGTAAAAATACGCACTACGACTTCAATTTCTCTTCTAAATTATTATTTCAATCTATATATATAAAAATGAATCGCAAAATGTGTTGGTAAGCGCATAACTCAACAACGCCTCGACCAATTTGGCCAAATCTTTTTTAAAAATGTTCGTTGAAGTTCAAGGATGGTTTTTACGGCGAGAAAAATTAGAATTATTGCTGGAAAAACCCTAAAAATAGCCCTTTTCTTTTTCCCATACAAATGATTTGTAACTAAAACGTAGTCAATTTGAGCTTTATTGCTATGGTATAAAGTTCATATTAAATTACAAGCACTCACTGTTGTCTAAGCAATGTAGGTGTGTTCCTAACGTCAAAGATCATATCTATCAAAACAATGTGCGTGTGTGCGTTGGAGCACAGAATACATAGTTGGAGGAGTTTAATGTCGCGTTCCGAAACTCACGGTTCTGTTAAGGAGATTTTTTTTAAATACGTAGGCAAAAAAACTGCCACATTACAAATCTTTTTGACAGGACGAAGTCTGTCGGGTCAGCTAGTTTACTATAAAGACAATTACTTGCGATTTGACAATTTACTGGCCTGTGACGTCACGATCAGCGCCATTACATAGAGCAGCGTTTTTAGCGCGATTTTGGCTATTTAAATTTTAACAATTATTTTCACCAAAAATTCAAAAGATTCCAATGAAATATAATGACAGTGTGTCTATAATGTAGCAAATAACGATTTAAAATAGTTTTCAGAAAAGTGTCAAATAACCTATTATCGTTTTTATGACTTTTCTTGTTAATTAATAAATCCTTTTCATCCATTCACCATACATAATATAAAAATATTATTGAGACTTGATGTACTTTTGTTATTGTAAGTTCAACAAACAACTAATAGCAATAACACTAACTTACCTGGTTGTTATTGTTTTCAGAACTTTTGTTAAATATTATAATGAAAAAAATCTTAGACCTACTATGGCATAAGTATTTTATTTATAAAAACTATTTGGCGGTAATATTATTATATACCGTAGCTAAATGCCACTTTTAATTATATCACAGCATTAATTCAATTCATTTCTATAAATTTAAAAAAAACCTCTGTGCTCACTTCTATTATGTTATATTCAAAGATTACTTTGTATTAATTGAGTTGCGTTTGCTAGTAACTTGATCTAGTTAAATTTCAACCCGATATTAATCCGAGTTATCAGATCCATAACAACACTTACAATTCTATTCTCTTTGGTTTAAAGTCATGAATTGACGTTTAGATCCAACAATTTATGCTGCTATCTAGTGACATAAATTTTGTAGTTTCTTTATTTTTTTTAAAATACTTCCTCATTGGCGTGCAAAAAACTATTGATATGGTTTATCCCCTTGAAAAGACTAAAATTCAATAAAATTGATTTTTAGAGGTAACTTTTATTTTATAGAAAATATAAATAATATATGTCCTGGCAAATACTATATTTGAAGTTTAAATTTAAACCGCTATATTGATGTTTAGGTTTAAAAACAATGCTCATATATTTTCTTTAACAGGATTGTTTTCATTAGTATGCTTAAATTTTTAAGATGTTATGATTTCCTAATAAAAAAAGAGTTCATTAGGACTTTATATCTTTGTTTACAAGTCGGTCTGTGTCCACCATATTGGAATTATAATAAAATCAGGTTTTTACAATGATCATCTCGGCTAACAGTTTCATTCGATATCCGTGTTATAAGAGTGTAAAGATAACGAGTAGATCATCTTCGGTGGTCCGCCATATTGCTTTTAGAATGAAGAAATTTTATTTTTCTTCTTAGCCAACCATTTGATATTCATATCATGAAAGTGTACAATTTTTTTCGGTACACTCTCATGATTGATATAATATGAAGCGGCTTTTAGGGCACCCTCATATAAGATTTAAAATAATATCACTTAGCTAACTGTGCTGTGCCTAGACCAAATAAACATAGTTTCAGCATCAACCGATTGAGGATAGCTTTAAAATGCAGTTGCAAAATTTGTCGAGATATATTGCGATATAATTAAAACACTTACTGCTTTTCCCAATGGAATCTGTTTATACTTATGTAGCAATGAAACAAAATCGGGAATTTGTATTGGAGAGTAATTTTATGCACTTATAATATAAACTACTTTTATTTCTAGGTCTTCTAATATAAATGATGAAAAGACGAAATGATAAAAGACAGCGAACGATTATTTTCTCGAATTGGTATATTGAAGAAAGTTTCAGTGTTACAGTATTTTACTAATTGATTTTATAGATATGTCGCAGCCAAGTACAACCAATCAAATGGGCGACTAGCCCTTTAATTGAATGGCGCCATTCAATTTTATTGAAGCCCGATTAGTCGGCTGATTATACCACTTGGCTGCGACAGATATATCTACATTACTCGTTTTTTCATTTATCATAAGGGGTAAAATTTTTGACAGCTGGTAATACAGAGTTGTACAGAGTCAATTTCACATTTTTCCGTTCATTCTGTCGCTCGCACATATTCTGTCATTGCTTAATTTAAAGTTTAATCGTAGATATGAAGGAGACAATCACACTAAGCCTATTTATATTATATAATATAAATGTTATTTGGAAAGCTACGTCTGTTGTATAGGATTGCTTCTCAAGTTATTAAACTCATTGGGAAGAAATGAATGTTGCAAATTTTTGAGATTTATTCTATATGTGCATAAGTACTAAAATAAAACGTTTATTTTAGTACTTATGCACATATAGAATAAATCTCAAAAATTTGCAACATTCATTTCTATTTACTAAAATAAAACGTTTATTTTAGTAAATAGTGTATACTTTGATTAGTACTGATCCCATAATTTTTAAAAGAAGCAATGATGATTATGATCAGAAAATGTGTTTTGATTTCTTTTATTATGCGGAGTTTTTACAGATTTTATACAGATTTTAGCAGTTCCTACTAATATATTTCATAACATAGTTAATAATGCTTTTAAGGCATCTGGCAACACTGATAAATGGCAACATTATTTGTTTATTGACAAGTCGGATGACAGACGGCGGGGTCTATCTTTCAATGGCTCGCGAAACAATTTAAACTAATTATATGACTTGATAAAGAGATTATTTCCGTTTTCGTCGTAGAACTAAGTGAAAATGTGGTTCAAGAACTGTGTTTAAAACATTTACGCACGTCGAATACGCGTGTATCGCGATCGAAAATGCATATTCAGTACTCGTTAGGAGCCATTTTTATTATATTTATTTTACGCGTTCATTGTGTAAATGCAACTAACGACAACGAAATTAAAGAAATTTATGGTAAGTTATACGTTTTACTTTCATTGTTTTATCATACAAATCAAAATTATTGAGCTTTTTGTGATTTATTGACACAGTACTAATCACGCCTAAATTGTCTATATATGTGTATCTGTCAAGCTCTTGATTTTGATGAGGCGTGTTCTAGTTTTAGGGATCGTTGTTGATTATTCAAAGGCCCGGTGTATCGTATTAGCTGTGAATAATATCTGTAATCCACCAATTGGAAATAGCTCTATAGCTTCCAAAAAATACTAATCAACAGAAGGAAGAATGAAGGAAGTTGTCAGTAGTTAAGATTTTTATCAATATTATCATTACTAAAGAAATGCTACAACTGTGTGTTTTATAGTGTTATAATTATTTGTATGCTTTTTGGAGATTTCCTTATGCATTACTTATATGTAAACTACATCAAAACCTGTTTGTTTTGTGATGTTTATTGGATGAGTCACTATAAGTACCCTGTATTTCTGCAGGTTGAGTATGAACTTTGAAATTTATTTATTGATACTCCAAGATAGTAGTAGGTTTGCTTATTCTCAGTATAATAAAAATTTGGACTCATACTAGAATTGCAATTTTACCATAAATTTACTCTAATGCTAAACCATGTTTAATAATAGCACTGATAGAGATGGGTATGTTCAATTCTCAAAAGGGTAATTTAACAGTAGGACTTAGATAAGTTAAAAAAAGTATTTATTTCACAAATATAAACAACATGTATTTTGAAATACAGTACTCTAAAAATTTTAGGTTTTACCAATAAATATACTAACTAATGAATAGTTAACAGGCTAATTGATCTAAGCAACAATTATGGCGATATTGTATTATAATGATATTTCAAATCAACAAGTTTTTCTTTATTGTTAAGAGTTTGAGTGCCCGTTAAGACCCATGTAAAATTAAGTCTCAATTTAAAGGTTTGTTGATATAAGTGCGGTTTGAGAACTCTTAGATCTAACTCAAGCCATAATTTGTTCTAAAATCTGTTGGACAATTTTTGAACTTTAGAAATCTACTAAACAGTAAACTTTTAGTTGTGTTTGCTGTGTTGGTTAGCTCATTTCATAGTATACATTCTAGGTACATATTTTCTTTCATATCTTAATTGACACTTTACTCTTGAAAGGCTCATGTTTAATAATGTTAGTCATTGTTTTATTATCTGCAGATGAAATGCATAATTAAGAAGAACTTTAAGAATATTTTAGGTTTATTTGTTTATGCTCATTTTAACTTTAATAATGTATAGCTTAAGGACATGTTCTAGGGGTAGATAGCTGTGATTTAAGCATAAGGTTCATATCCCATGCTTAACAAAAACATGTTAGGTATAAGGGCTTCAATTTTCTCACTTAGATGCCTTTTTTTGTTCAGTGTACTAAATACAGTCATACATAATTAATTAAACTTTATTAATTATGTATGAATTTTCCATGTTTTGTGTGTGAGATCTCCTAGTCATTCTATATAAACAAAGAAAATAAACAAATAGACAGATCAGACAATTTTGTAAGTAACAATTGATGACAAAATATAAATAAATGTAAACACCATTGTGAGTTAAGAAGGTGCCTACACTAAAAGTGACTTATCTTTCAATCAGTTTTGTAGAGAGCAATACCTATAAGTAAACTGTGAAAACTGTAAAATTATCTCAATGGAAACAATGTAGTAGACACATACAGAGTTACTTTTGCATTTTTTATATATCATCATCATCATCAGCCGGAAGACGTCTATATTTTATATATGTGTATGTTTAATTTCGTATTCTATACAGGACATCACACAACTATGCTACATGAACGGAAAGGTCCTTTAATATTATAGATGGAACATTTTACTGAAATAAGACTTTTAATTTGAAAAACAATTTAAACTGCATTTATGGATAAATAACTACATGGTTGAACTGGGTATCAAACCCGCTACATGTGGGAAACAATTACCTTGTAGCTTTATCATATTGATTGAAAGGCTTCATCATAAGGATTATTTTATGCTATATGACATAGTGTTAGAAATAAATGGGAGACTATGAATTTTAACATCTTTAATACAAAATTTATCTAATGCTTAAAATGTGTCCCATTCTGTTGAATACAGAGTTGCACTCTTTTGATTAATTGACTCCTTGTTGATTTTTTGTAGTGGATATTTAGAATAAGACGTCAAAGTTCTGTTTGCAGCTTGTGGACACTTTTCATACTGGTTCTTGTAAACTAAAATATTTACATAAGCCCATAAAAATCTAAAGGGATTAGATCTAGGGATCTTGGCGGCCATCTTATATATCCATTTGTCCCGATCCAAAGACGAAAATGTTCATTGAGATAGTCCCTTGTTCTGCGACAGTTATGAGCTGGAGCCCCATCTTGATGAAAAGTAAGGTTTTGTTGTTCTGCAACTGGAAGATTATTTATCTCATTTCTAAAAATCCCAAGTATTTCTAAATATCTTTCCGTATTCAAATGTCCTACGAAAAAATGTACTAAGAGGACCAGGTTTTTTAAAACTCACACCAACAGTTGAACAAAAAACGCACTTGATTATTAGTCTTGCGGATTCTCCCTGGACCAAATGCGATTATTTTGTCTGTTGTACACACACAAAAGAATAAAAATTTGAAAATGAACCCATTTTTGAATTATTTCTTCTTTCGTTAGCCAGCGGCATTGATATGGACAAAATTATTACGAGTCTTTCGGCTCGGGATATGGCTCAATTTGTTGCATACAATTAATTTTGTATTTGTTATGTATGAATGTCAAATATATTTTAATTAAAATACCAACAGGTTATCTTGTTAAAGAATAAGATTAATATATGTGGGTAGTTAGTTCACTTGGCACTTTTCTGTCTTGTTATTGTGCAGGCTACATAGCTTAATAAATGGAATTACTTAATTTCGTGTTTTAATGGACATAATAGTATTAAAAATTATAAAATTCATGGTCTGCCTTTTATTTCTGACACTATGTTAAGCATAAAATAACACTTATAATAAAGCCTTTCGATCGGTACGATAAAGTTACATGTTTCTTTTTCTCGTGTAGCGGGTTCGACTCCCGGTTTAAGCATGTAATTATTTAAAAAGCTATTAATGCAGTTTAAATTGTTTTTAAAAATAAAACAATGTCTTCTTTCTGTAAAATGTTCCACCTATAAATGCATAGTCGTGGGACGCCCTGTATAGTCAAATTCATGCCATTGATTTTGAAGCATCTGTTTGTTCTGATAAGGTTAAAATTGATCAAAGTAATTTGAAATATGCAAGAACCTAATGTGTCTGTTGACTACTTGTGTTCTGGCAGTGACTCAATATAATGAATATGACCTTTTATGTCTCTGCAATAAATAATATAAAGACCAAATATTTGATTGTTTATTTTTTTACATTGAATAGGCTCTTAAACTACTGGACCATTTTGAAAATTTCTTTCAACTATGGATAGCTGCATCATATGCGGCTGACATAGGCTATGACAATATTTTTGTTACCAAGACAAGAAACATAATCGACATTGATCTAACTGAACTCTATTTTAAACGTAGGATGCCACATATCTATGAGAAGCTTGTCGTTTTCCGCCGGAGTTCTAAGTAAGACAAAGATTAACAATAGTGATAGATTTCTGATAAGGTGGCGGCAGACTGGCAGGACAGTGTTAATTAAAGGTCGATGATCCCAATCATGTATTTGGAATAAGATTTTCGATTATCAATTGTTATTTATATGCATATTCAAATATTGTTTTTAGTAAAATTATTTTTATTAATGACTAGCTGTTTTCCCGCGACTCACCCGCTTAATTTATAACCTATGTCAATTGCGCACGATATAGCTTCACCTTGATGTAAGACTTTTCTTTAGCGGATCAGTACTTCTTAAGATTACCCACTACAAATATAGTTGGAAACTTTACCTCTTTATATTATTTATTACTATAGAGACTGGACAGCAAAACAATATACACTGATAACAATTTTTTCCTGTATTTCTTGTAAATGCTTTCGCCAGCTTTTGAATTTCATCGCTTGAAGCGACATCGGGTAGATTTTATGTTGTGTAGCATGAATTAACGTCCATGGTCAAGTTTGCAAAACTTCGATTCATGCCAGCTGCAGGTTTGATTGTGTAGGGGAATCTATGTACCCGTGCCCGTGTAGCATGACAAACTCGAGAGTATTGAAAAACGCACGTGAGCGAGACCAAGAGTGATATATTGTATGGGCATGTCATTCTCGATTCTCAACATGTTTCTCGAGTCTCTCGAGTTCATCACGATACATAATATACAACGAAGAACTTAGTATGAGAGCTGTATTATCATTATCAACTTAATAACGTCCCCTCTGCTAGAGCACGGGCCTATGGATGATATTGGCCATGAGCCACCTGGAAGGCCCAATGTGCATTGGTGGATGTTAAAGAGTACAGAATAGTGTATATTATTCTATTATATTCTCGAATAGTGTATATTAATAACATTTTGTTGTAACCTTTTTAAAAAAAAACAACCACTTTTTTTTTTTCGTGATCTATCCATCAAAACCCTGTAATGTCTTATGAAATCCTCTTATGAAACCAAGGGGCCAATAGTCTAATTTTAAAATCTAATGGATTTATCTTTCAATTTCACACTTGAAAGATATTCACGATCTTCACGTTACAACTATTGGACACGTGATAGCGATTGCAATAGCGCCTTATTTTGAAATATATAATGAACGCTAGCGTTAATTTAACATTTATTTGGGATTGTTTAAGGCAAGCATATTAGACGCAAATATCTCCAAAAGTCAGAATAGAATGAAATGATGAAAGAAATGTCAAGCAAGAGTTGTATGCTAACTGCAGTCTGAACGGGTTTATTATGTTTCTTGACCATTCGAATCATCATTTGTGTTAAAAGCCACTGCGTCAAAATCTATCAAAATAGCTGTACCTTTTATATTAGAAAATAAGTCCACATGGCTTGTATAGAGAACCCTGATAATTTCTTTATACTGAATCATCATCGTAAACAAAAAAAGAGAGTCGTGACTTTGTTTCGGCGGCTGTTGACCCGATAACAGTATTGTACTATGTTGCGTAACAAGTTTATTGTTTTAGCGCCAATTACGTTTGCGGTTGTAATTACAAGTACGCTTTCGACAATGGCCCGCTTAGCACAATGGATAACCTCTGTGTTGAATTTTCATCGGTTTCAGTGGCAGTTACTAAGCGATTGTCAACCTTATGATTGTATGGGATTATAGATGGGAATGGTGTAATGCGTTTTCCAGTATTCACTTAATAAATGGTACAAGTGTTAAAATATTTTATAAAAAAAAACTATTATTATGAGACCCAATTTAATTAAGTTAAATTTAAGAAGTAACCTTAACTGTAATGTTTAGGATTCTGTATATTTAAGACACTATTGAGTCGAGTCTTTTGAACTGTCACATCTGATTTACTCCTAAACTAATGGACCGATTGATTTGTAAGATACATCTGATGTGGCTCATTGATGTACCTGCGTAGAGGGCTAAGTTTCTACGCGCGGCAAAATTAAAGTATCAGGCCATCGGCAGATTTACCAATATCCACGCGTCTTGCTACCACGGTGTTAGTTAATGAAAAGGACACATATTGCATTGTATTTTATACTTTGTGGCTATAGAAACAAAGCTCAGTATAAATTTTTATCATACGATCTGTCATTATCGTAATTGGTAGATCTGTAGAGCGATTCCCTAACTCTCTCGCTATAACTCTAGCCATAGCTATAAAACGTGTTAATGATTTTATCAATGAAATAAATTGACCAAATCAAGAACAAATTCTCATCTTTATCGAAAATTTAAATACATATTTGTAAATATATTTCTTTCGGCCGTTTGGGTGGTTTGCCTGAACATTGATGAAAATACGCTCTGTAGTGGCGAATAAGTAACAAATGTTTGAAAAATTCGTCAGTCCTGTTAGGCTCTGGGTAGCTCAGTGGTAAGAGCACCAATTGATATATAAGAGCCTGGATTGAGAAAGGTCATGGGTTCGAGTTCCATCTCAGAGTGGAAGGGACAAAGTGGATTTTTAAATATTTTTCAGTATAGCATTGTGAATACAAAATTGATTAGATATAATAAAAAAAAGTGTAGAAAAATTGGTACCGCCAGCAGTAATACAGAGTTCTCAATTTTCTCTTAATTTAAATTTACCTGAAAAATGTATTTGTTAAGATTTTATTTCTATAATGCCAGTTTAGAAGACGTCATAAGACATTTGTGTAGTGTATTTGAATAGGATACAATTACTAATAGTTTAAAGGGTGGTGAATATCTTTTTGGCCAAAGTGACTAGGTAGTTGAATGGGGCCTATGCAATGTGGCTAGAGCACCCTGATTTAGTATACAAGAGTTGTATTTACCCTCCAAAAACAAAAAAAAAAAAGGTTAATTGCAATTAGTCCAAATTAATATTATACAGAGAATAAGCAAACCTATACTACCTTCTATTAAAGAGTAAGTATAAAAAATTATAGAGTAAATATTAATAAAGTTGAACATGAATTTTGACTAATATTAAGTGCAGTCTCAGCGTAAATTTACTTCAATGCTAAACCATGTTTATTAATAACACTGAAAGTCCATAAAAATCCCGGCAGCCATTATACAGATAATAATAATAATCTCTGTTGATACCTAAGTCAATATTTATGTGATGTCTTATACGTATATTATTAAGATAATAAAGTAAATTTTAATATCGGTGATCTGATATTTCAGTCATAATAACAAGTGGCTCGTTAGCAAATAAGTCTTTGTAAGATAAACCTTATTTTTAATATTCATAATTTGTCTCAGATGTGTAATGTTTTTGATGACGTCATAAAATTATATAGGTTCTACTGTATTGCATTTTGTTTACTTGTCAAAATTATTGACTGTATGTTTTTTCATGTTTTCCAGTACCGTCCGCACCACAAAACCTCACAGCTACCCTCGTGACCGCTGCTGAAATACATTTATCTTGGGCCCCGCCACTGACTTTCACCTTGCACACAATTCCTATACCAGAGAAGGTACAGACTACGAAGCCTGATCAAGAATTCGCCGTCCTCCCAAAGAAAAAAGTGGAACACCAATCTGACGAGCCTGTCAACGACCTTATAAGTCCTCTAGACTTGTCCGAAAACCCTGACAAGCTCAAAGACTTGGAGTACGCAACATATAATTGGTACAAAAATGATAAAAAGTACAACGACGAATATTCTACTTCAGATATGATGATGGACTCATATAGGAGTAAAAGAGAATCTCGTTCCCATAGGCACAGGAAAAGGAGGCAAGATAATGGAACAGACGCAAGGAGTTTGCATATTGAGAACGGTGATATAGAAACTCATCAAGCTTTTGAAATGGGCAACTCCATAGAGGTTGTGAAAAAGTCTTTTACTCCAATACGTGCGCATAAAAATATTACTCTAGTCGCATACGTTTTATATTACGAGCAGGGTGTGCCAAGGTTCGACATGACGACAGTATATGGGGTGCAGAACTCCACAGATGTTAAGAACAAGAACGTGTTTTCGAGCGATCTCGGCATGGAGGAGTACTCGAGGTCGACTAAGAACCTGACTTTGTTGAATAATTCGGGCAAAGTCACCAAAGTGGTTGCGTTTCGATTGAAGAACTTAAGTAAGTATGAGTATTTGTTATATGTTTTATTATTATTACAGTTTGTGATCAATTTCATCATACCATAATGTTGTTCTTGTCGGGCTTCGATCCGCACACCGTACCATAACGTTTGCCTTTGGACGCGCGCCATAGACGTGTACTAAGAGTTAACTCGCATTCCGTATTTGGCAATTACACGTGGCGTGAATGGCTATTACTCGTTATGGTTTTTTGATATTATAAGTAGTTGTTTTTTTTAAAGTATTCGTAAAATAGTACGTGTTGTCACTGCTGCCTTCTGCAGAATATCATTGGAGCTAGCCTCGCTTACTGCATATACTGAGAATAAGCCACCTTGGCAACCACACCATGACATATTTTGATTGTATTGTAGTTCCTGCTATTATTTTCCTTTATATTTCATTTCTCTGTCAAATTTGTAAACGTTCCGTAAAATTTGTGATGTCAAATAACAAACCTATTCAATTCTTTCACGAAGAGTAAAACACATTCTGATCTACAATGTTACATCAAAGATCTGTGCCTTTAACACAAAATTATAGAGTAGGAATTGATTTCTATTATGTCCGATCGAACTTGATGATGTTACGTCCTTAGGGTACGGTACCTATTGAGAGCGTGATTTATTGTGTTACTATTTTCAGAGCCGTTCACGCCTTACAAGATCTGGGTGCGAGCTTTCTACAACTTCTCGCTGGATGGTGTATCATCGTCCGACCTGCTTGAGAGGTTAAGTAACAAATCTGAACCTGTGTACGTGCTGACGGACGTGATGCCCCCCTCACCGCCTAAGATTCTCAACTTAACCTGCGATATATTCAAACGTAAGTAAAGGAGACCGGAGGTCTTTAGTCTAATTTTCAAATCTATCGCAATCCCTTGCAGTTAAACATTTGAAAGATATTCACGAACTTCACTCTACAAGTATTTGTCATGTGCTAGTAATAAATTGCGATTGTGACGTTTTTTGAATGGACGATATCGTTAATTTCACAGTGGAATTGTCTAAGACAAGGGTTAGACACAAATATTACTTTAAATTCAAATCACTAAGCTTTTATTAAGTTTCTTGATCAATAAATTTATCATTCGTTCCGAAAAAGAATTAAAAATTAGACAATTAGGTCACAGATGTTCCGGATCTAAGATGTTTAGGAACCGACGAGCCTACCGCGTACACTAAGGTACAACTGATGTGGTTCACTGATGAACTTCCGCAGAAGTCTTAGAAACGCGGCAAATATTGGCCAATCAGAATGATTAATAGGGCGATTCACCCATATCCATGAGCCTGACCCCCCGTTGAGAGTTATTGGCAAATGATGCGTTGTATTCTATTTTACATTTTATGGTTATTAAAACAGTCACCATATATTCTCAACGAAGATTCACCATACGCCATATTACATGGAACGTACTGTAACTACACTTACATTATAATATTTGGTCAATTTTGCATTAAGAATGCTATACTGAATCCTAAATCTACTATAATATCCTAATCTACTATACTAAATCCGCCCGGACTGTGAAAGGTCATGGGTTCAAATCCCATCTCAGAGTGCCAGGGACAAAGTGGATTTTTTAAGCATTTTTCATTAAGAATATTTTACACTTACATTGATTTCCGTGACATAATATTGAATATACAGTGTATCTAACAATACAATATTGAACATAGAGTCTTATGTCTAGGTAACTGATCTAATTATGCGGTATCTTGCTAGACAGAACATTGATACAAAACTAAATTACGTATTTCAAGAAGAGGAAAAATTTCGAAATAATCCTTAATTTATTAAGAGGCGACGAAAATTGTACAAAATTGGGTAGTTAATTTTTGTTTCCAACCATATTTTGTTTCCGAATTTGAGCTTATATAATAACACGTAGCATCTCAGGTTTTACAAAACTATCAAATTTCTTCAAATGATTTTATACTTTAATATATTGAGGGTAGAGTTGTGGTGGCACATGGTGGTAATCTGACGTTCTGAGATGTGTATATCCTTCACTGTCCCATATAAAATAAAAATTTATATTCTGAACAGGTACACTGTACCTGCAGTGGCGGCAGCCAGTAGAGTTCAATAACTCATTGGATCAGTACGTGGTCACATTGAGGAAGATACCCGAGCAGCAGCCACGGACGCGTCTCACGCTGCCCACTAACAAGAACGATATAGAGACAACCATTAGTGTGGTGAGTTATAACTGCTTTGTTGTAATAGTAAGTAAATCAGCAGTCGTACCGTCGTGACTTCACTTTGGTTGGAATTCAATCAAAATGTACTCAATTTTCAGTACGGTATGGAATGTTAAGTGTATTTGATTCCACTTGATCCATTGAACGTACACACTCAGTATTATTAATAAACAAGCTTTAGTGTTGGAGTAAATTTACGTTGAGACTGCACTTAGTATTAGTCAAAATTTATATTATTAAATAGAGACTCAGCAAAGGTTAAACTATACGAGTACATACGAGTAAGAGGGTACGAGGTTCCACGGGCGTATTATTTACTCCTAGAAGGTAGTAGGTTTGCTTATTCTCTGTATAAAATGAATTTTAAGTAATACTAAAATTGCGATTTTAGCGTAAATTGACTTTGACGCTAAACTTCGTTTATTAATAGTACTGACTGTGTTTAACAATACGGTATTGTAATACCTGTATGCATAGAAAAAACTGTTTTTTTTTTTTAGTTTTGAGCCATATAATGATGTAAAGATCGTTAATCTCTCACATCCTATTGACCTTATATTATGTTTTTACTACAAATAACTAAATTAATTTATTAATTTCCAGGAGGTTGAGTTGTGGAACGACACTCAATACGAAGTGAAGATTTACGCTGTGACGCAATCTGTCGCTCGGCCTTATGTGCTCGTCAATGGGTCCGAATCTCCATCTGAGGTAAACACGACTTTGCGCATTACCCTACAAAAGGTCTTCATGTTTAAATTCAAAGTCAAAATAATAATTTATTAAAATAGAATTCTTAAAAGTACTCTTGAATCATCCAACATTTTTCTCTACAAGAAGAACGTTCACAAAACTATGTTATTACCAGATCAATATATTAGTTTAAAATTCATTCATTTACATTATTTAAGTTGATGATCCAAGAGCACAACCTTGTATTATCAATTTACATTACATCTCAACTCAATCGGTGCGAAACCCTAAAATTGTATTTTAATATGTTTTGTAGTCTAGCCGCTCTATAATTAATCCTTTGTATAGTAGCTCGGTGCCGTAGTGGATATGCGCCGCGGCACGCGATCGTAGTCGTTAAGCAACTTTCGCAAGGGTCGGTCACAGGATAGGTGACCAAAAAATTATTATCCCGAGCTATTCCGTGCTTCGGAAGGCACGTTAAGCCGTTGGTTCCGCCTGCATTTGTAGTCGTTAATACCCGCCAATCCGCATTGGGCCAGCGTGGAGGGTCAAGGCCCATGCTCCTTAACCATCCATGAGGATAGCCTGAGCCCCTGTAGTGGGGACGAAATAAAGGGCTGATGATGATGATAATGATTATTAATAAATAAGATCGGTTTTCGTGTACAGAAAGTGTCAAGTGAATGGTGCGCGGCCCATTCAGAAGCGATGTCACCTGGCGACGTTCCGCCTGCATCGGCCGGTATTCACACTGCAGCGCTCTTAGCAACGGCTACTATAGTGCTGTTAGCAGCTGTGGGACTCATCATTGTTTATTGGAGGTATAGTTAAATACATGTAAATAAATATCAGACAACATCAGATACTGTTTAATTTGTGTTTGTATTTATTAAACTTCTATATTTGCAACAGCAGATTTTACTGTCAACTTTTATATACATCAAGAACAATATTATATATCTAATTCTATACATATGTCTACTTCTACAACAATCCGTGTTTTGTTCACATACATTACTCAGATTTCAAGATGAGTAGTCGTATTATATTAGACGACAGGAAGGAGCTCGATGGCGCAGCGGTAAGAGGGGGTCGCTCATAGGATGGGACCAAAAAAAAAAAATATCTCGAACTCTTCCGTGCTTCGGAAGGCATGTATTTAACAGTCGTTTACAGTTATCACTGGTCAGTAAGCACTGGTCCCGCGTCATGGTCCATTCTCGCGATTCGATTCCATTTATATGTGTGTGCACCGGCAGTGGGGAAATTAAAAGGCTGGTGATGATGATGAGACTACAAAGGGAGCACAACAATCAGACCAGAAACAATAGAAAACTTCGTTTTCTACATTGTATTCTGCAATAATTAAAAATTGTGTAAACACCGAAATATAATTTTTCCTTACAGATGTCGATCTCGTCTTAGTAAATGTGTAAGCGCCGTTTATAACTATTTGGAGGAAGGCGGCGAAAGAGCGGCGAGAGCTCCACTCAATTCTTACAAGAAACCTGGTGAGTTAAATATCTGTTATTATTTATTTCAAATTAATATGACGCTCAAACAAACTAAACGAATTTTAAAAGCTGTTCGTTTTCTTAAATTTGTCCATTATAAATAAATAAAAAAAAGTATTTCTTATTTCGTACAGATGTAACGCGACAAATAAATAATAATACGTTTATTGTAAATGCAAAAAAAAAATATAGAAAATAATTCACCTTATACTTTATAATGTTTAATAGGTATATTTTCATCAGAAAAAAGAGTCTTCTTAATAAAATTTTGATATATTGAACTCATATGTGTTTGTGCAGTGGTGAACTGTTCGCCGCTGCATTCGTGTGCGTCGGGCGGCGGCGGCGGCGGCGGCGACGTAGAGCAGGTGCCGGCGCGGCCGCCGCGCATGTGCGGCCCACACCATCCCGCTGTCACTGCGCAACACTACCCCGCGCACGTGGCAGCACTCCACGCCGACGGCGACATCGGTTTCAGGTACACGTGCGCACACTGTACACACGGTTACGCTACACTACTCAGTGCACGAGGCCGCGCTCCACGCCGACGGCGACATCGGCTTCAGGTACACGTGCGCACACTGTACACACGGTCACGGTACACTATTCGGTACATTTTGTCAAATTTATTTTGGTAATTTCTTGTTTATTTATTTATTTATTTATGTACATGGATGACCAACAGTTAAAAATTACATAATAAAAATCTTAGCTAAAAACAGACAGCCACTTACAGGTCGTCACAGATAGACATAGTATAAAAAAAAGAAAAAAGAGAAGAAAGACCGCTTACAATCATAACAATGATAGACTATGCTGCTTCCACTATACTTAAATCTATAACACTATGGATTTTCAAAAAATAGGTTACTTATAATGCGTCTAATTGACGCTAGTGTTAAAAAGGTCGACGTTTATTCGCTTCGATAATTCATTAAATCTATTGCACGCACGCCACAGAAAGGAATTCTGCCGAAATTTTGAAGAAGCTGGGGGTAAATATTATAAAGGATTGAACCTGAGTTGTTTTTGTGGGGCCCTAAGAGCGATCTTTGACAGGAGTTCAGGACAATCGACAGCACCACAAGCAATTTTGATGAGAAAAGCCAGATCAGAGATGTCACGTCGATTTTCTAAAGGGAGCAAGTGATGTTTCTTACAAATTTCCTCATAACGATTTGAATTATAGCTTTGTTTCGTACTAGATAGATATTTTATAAATCTTATTTGTATTTTCTCTAATCGCGATATGTAAGTCTGGTATCCAGGGTTCCAGACCTGCGAAGCGTACTCCAGGTGACTACGGACGAATGTGCAATAAAGAATTTTTTGGGTTTTAGTCTGTGTGAAGTCTTTGGTTGTTTCTCGTTATTCCGATTTTCCATGTTAATTTTTACTAATGCCAGCCAACTAGACCGTAGAGACACACGGTCTCACTACACTTCCCTAAGATTAAAAATAATGGACAATTTTGCTAGATATTCTGGATCATGTCACCATAAAACTATCACTTACATAAGCAAAATTTAAAAAAAGTAATTACTACATTAGAAAATGTAACTCTTTACCCGAAGAATACAATTCTTTTCATCTGATTGTCAATTGTTTTCACATTGTAGCGTTATTTAAAAGTTGGGTGATCAAAATAAAATAATTTAACTTCGGGGAATTTACGTTGCATGATTTTTATGATTTTAAGTGTACTGTGCTCAGCAGAGGCTTCGATCTGCTTTTAGTGAAAATGCAGCATGCAAGACGATTGTTTGTAGCTGGTTTGAAGAATTCAAACGGTCGTATCAAATCTTTGCGTGCGCTTCGAAACAGAGGCATATATACGAGGGTCAAACTGAAAGTTCTTAGAAAATCAAAAACTGATTACATTAGCCAGTTATTAGTTTTATTATATCTTTTCAAAATATTGTCCATTCACGTCAATACACCGCTGCATGCGATGGAACCACTAGGAAAAGCACTTTGCCCACTTGTCCTTAGGGGTCTCTTCAATGGCATCGCGATACGCAGCCACCGCTTCTTCAGCATTCATAAACCGCTTTCCTTTAAGTTTTTCTTTAATTTTTGGAAATAAATAAAAATCACAAGGCGCGAGGTCGGGGCTATACGGCGGGTGACCCAGTAATTCAACGTTTGATGTCGCCAAATAGTCGATCGTTCGCTTGGCGGTGTGCGACGAGGCGTTGTCGTGGTGAAGGAGGATCCTACTGCGAGGTCGTTTCTCTCGAACTTTTTCCAAGACAAGTGGCAAACAATTGGTAGTGTACCATTCTGCAGAAACTGTTTTTTGATCCTCTAACACAATTGTTGCAAAATGACCTATCCTTCCAAAGAACGAGGCCACCATTTTTTTTCCCGCACTTCGATCTCTCTTCACTTTAGTTGGCAACTCCTCGAAAGGAAACACCCACTGAGCAGATTGTCTTTTGGTTTTAGGATCATAACAGTAAATCCAGCTTTCGTCACCTGTTAGTATGTCGAACACAGCATTTGAGTCACCTCCGTTAAATCTTTCAATCATTTTACGACACCAATCCACACGATGGAGTTTTTGAGCCTCAGTCAAATTATGAGGTATCCACCGGGCGCAAAGCTTCCTGACCGCTAAATGTTCGTGGAGGATTTTGTGCACTTGACTCATACCGATGCCTAAGCTTGTCCGAATCTGTTGATAGGTCACTCTTTTGTCAGTCTCTATCATACGCCGCACAACACAGATGTTATCTTCAGTCGTCGCCGTAGAAGGCCGTCCCTCACGTAAATCATCAGTGAGATTAGTGCGACCACGTTTAAACTCATTAAACCAGTTGTAAACAGTCGCACGAGATGGGGCTTCATCGTGAAAGGCCAATCGTAGTCTATCATAACTTTCTTGTTGACTTAAATGACATCGAAAGTCATAAAAAATCATTGCACGAAAATTTTCTCGTGTTAAATTCATGATGACGTGACACAGACAATTTTCAATTTGCCGCCAAATCGTAAAACAAATGACAAATGAATGAAATATATACTCAGTAATATTGGCAAAGAGTTATATTTTCAAATTTTAGAATAATTTTTTTATTATATTGTTTATAAGTGGCCAGTTCTAAGAACTTTCAGTTTGACCCTCGTATGACCAACCATGAGATCCGGCCCTCTTTGGACATAGGCATGAGTAAAACATTAAACATTTAGGTGTGAGAAAGCTGAGTTCTCAATGAATCCCACACAACAGGGTATTCTACTCTGTTTGAAGTAGTATTTGTAACTGTTAATTTTAATTCAAACAGCCATAAAACAAATATTTCAGAACAATAAACATGTTTCAAAATTAAATCAAAATTTAAACTTTTTAAAAACAAGAACAATACCATCTAACGGTCGATTATGAAACTAAAAGATATAAATAAGCTAAGAACAGTGCCATCTAAGAATTTGATTAATAATAAAGAGGCATAGCTTTATGATCTGACAGCTGTCGCCACAGCGACATTACACAATGGCGGATTGTGTTTTAAATCACGTGACACAGAGACAAAAAATCACGACTTTTAATTTTAAGATCATAAGATTATCATGCGATTTTAAGACTTAAAATCAGAATCTCTACTTTTATTACAATGTAAATATTAGTTTTTGTGCAATTTTGTGACTTATTTTTCATTACCGGAATTACCCTAATAGGTTGTACCCTAATAAACTGATTCTCAAAAAATGGACCGCATCACTTGGTGCCATGTTATGCTTGCCAGACACAACGAAATTCAAATTTGATGTGTGACATAGTAACTGGTGATGAAACGTGGATTTATAGTTATTATCCATAAACAAAGCGAGATGAGCCGTAGTCAACCGAAGTGGCTCGAGTGAAAAGTGCATTTTTTTTAATAGAACTGAATACGTGGCTACTCGTGCCTTAGAAAATCATCGTAGAGAAGTGACTTGTACACAACCATTTGTTTAACAGTTTTACCAATCAGTAAACGGTGTCGAAGAGTATGAAAAACATGTATCTGACATCAGTACAGAAAAGTGGGACAAATGGTTCAAATTTGCTTCTGTTGTATGAAAAAGTGCATTGATGCAAAGGGAGAATATTTTGGGGATCAATAAAATAATTTTTGACGATAAATATCGTTTTTTTAGTGTGTCCCACGTAATATAATCAATTTCTTGTTTTAATTATGTATATTTTAAGGAAAGAGAAGCATTAATCTTAAAAGTTATCGAAATTATGTATTTTTTATGGTTAAATTAATTATATATTCAAAATTTTTCAACTTTTTCTAATTGTTTTTTTAACAACTCTATTTTTAAAAGAAGATGTTGTGTTTCTAATTGATGTAATTCGTCTTTGTGTTCCAGTTCTTTTTCTAAAATTTTTCTCTGTATTAATTTCTGCCCCAGCTCCTCTGTTAAAATGTTTTTCTGGATTTTTGCAATTTCAATCTTCTCTTCGGGTAATTTATCATATGGTCTTTTTTGTTTTGCTTTACCTACAATAACAAAATATATTATTTGTAGGAAATAAATGTTACTAATGTCAGGGATTCTACATATTTCAAACTTATGAATATATAGACTTGGAAAATGTAACCAAATTCCGTTTACAGAGAAAAAAATTATTAGCTCTATTATTAATTATTGCAATCAAGCATCACTTATATTTATTCTAGGTAAATTATTATTAGCACATACCTACAAAGTACATTTTTAAAACAACTTACCCAAAACAGGATGATTTTTACTTTTTTGAGCTGTCGGATTCCACTCCTCATTTGGAACATTTAGTTTTTTGGGCCTTGTAGTATCAGATACATCTTAAAAAAAATTGTAATAGGAGATTTAATAAGAAGTTACTAAGTACCAATATGTATTCTAGAAACTATTTTTAATCCTTTTAAAATTATAAATGTGTTACTAATTACTATGAGTACAATTAAAATGCAAACGTTGTGTACAGTCTTTCATTGCACATTTTTATGCAGGAATTTTTTCACGACTTATGATTTTTAGGTCAAGCGTCAGAAACGTAAATTTCTTTACTTTTTATTTTACTTAGAGTGATCACTGTCAACTAACATCGAGAAAATACCCATCTGCAATATTCAAATAAAATCAAATCAAAATCATCTATTCTAACTGGGTTGTTACAAGCACTCGTGAAAGTTGAAACTCAATGCCATCGATTCTTAAACTAAACTAAAAAATGGAGGTTCGCAATTTAACACGTGTTGTATGTATTGTCCGCGATTATCTCGTGTTTGGCTAAACCGATTTTGACGCGATTTTCGCAGAAATATTGTTAGTGTTAACTATAAAAATATAAATATCACTAAAAATTTAAAAAAATTAGAACTGACTTTAAACTTAAAAAAGTGAAAAAGAATATTTATCTCAAAAGCGACTTATTCAAAGAAAATGCTATTGAAATGAAAAAATAAATAAAAGAAAATACTATTAATAAAAGAATTTCTGTCCAAATCACAATAAACTATAACTCTAACATCTACAATGAACTCCAAACGTCTACTGTATGGTGTTCGTGGTCAATCAAGCGGACCTCGTACTTGTTTATATGCACAAATAAAACGTAAATGAAAATAATATTAATAAATTGTAATTATAGTATCTGATGTTGAAATGTCTTGGAGTAAATAATATTTCAATTAAGAGTTCAAAGAAAAATAATGAATGGCGCTTACTTTGCAAAACTAAGTCCGAATCAAAGTAATCATTTCCCTCAACAGGGACAAGAATCATATCCTTCACTTTTTGTTCCGCGGGCGTAAGCACTGGAGATGTGCTCGTATGGCTACCACTTTTATATCGTTCAGCTCTCATTATAGCATATTTTTTCCTGGTGTCTCTCTTAATGGCCTCATACTTTAGTTTGAGGTGTCTATGATCGCGGTACACAGAACTTGATGAACTGTTAAAGGCTTTCTCTATGTCTTTCCAAGCTTTTTCCTTCACTCGCCAAGTAGCAGCGTCACTTTTTTTGCTTTCGATAATATTTTTCTTTCCTTCTGCGAGCGACACGAGAAGGTCCGTCTCTTCCTGACTGAAATTCACGCTTCTTTCGCGTTTTTCTTGTTTTTCCATGATAAAGCAAAATATAATAACGTTGTTCTTAAGTATGAAACAAATTGTTAAAGACTGTTATTAAATAAGTATAGTTTGTTTCTAAACGTCTAAACGCAAAATGGCGACGTGACCGAATGTGACAGTTAAATTTATCTACCGATTATTTTATCAGGAAGTTTGTTGATGAAATTGGAAAAAATATCAGTATCTTTTATATGTTAGATAGCGTTATCTGTCAGGTAACTATCTGAAACATTATCAGCAAGTGGTGAAACTGGTCCTTAGTCTGATAACACACGTTAACATGATATTAAAATTAAAATCGTCGTACAATATCAAGTAAATAACGCACAATTTCACACCGTTTAGAAGTGTACTTCAAAATCGAAAAGTATTTACAACTACTGAGACGACCAAGTTCTATTTATTCGCTTACGCGCACGTTTATATTTCGAGTGTCGAATAGTACTGTAATAAGTAGGTAATTAAAAATTTGTGTTTAAACGAACGCCATACTAATTGCGCGTACTCATACCATTTCACCGTACTTTCTTTCACTTACTTTCTTCTTACCATAGTTTTACTTTCTTTTTCTATAATTTTATTAGTATAAAGAGACTTGGTGTAAAAATAAGTTTAAGAACTTTGTTATTGCAGTAAATAAATAAAACATTTGCATTATAATTGTCTACAATTGACTTTTATTATAATTCTGTATAATCCCGGTATATTATTGGTTAATGACCGTTGCTTTTGAAATTAAATTTTTGACCTGCTGTATATTGAAAGTCTACCAATGTGCGACGAGAGCGATATTAGAAGCAAAGCGATTGTAAGCACCGTGAATGATATAGACGAATTATCGGTCGTGACCGGAGTAAGAAGTTGGTGTGCTTTATTTTGCTAACGTAACAGAAAAAAAGTCACATACTTTTTTCTGTGAATCAATTCTCTAATTATGAACTCAATTGGCGTTAATTTGAATGATCAACCAGTTTTAGCAACTGGTTGATCATTACACCATTTTATAAATCTTTATGTTGTATTTTTGAATATTTTTTTTGTCTGACGTTTCGGTTTAAGCGGCGAATTCACTAGACAGGCACGCCCGCGGGCAAAGCTGCCGAGTATGTCTGTCGTTCACAACACACTACACAGACTCGTCAGTTAGTGTTCGACGCGCTAAGCGACTGGTTGTGTTATCAGTGCATATTACAATGGCTACGAAACGGGGAAAATTAGTTGCTGCGGCATTAATTCTATTTGACGAAAAGAAAAAGAAAAGAGTTTGGTGTAAAGAATGGTACAAAAACAGAAATAAGTTTAGCCATATAAATTTACTTAGAGAATTAGAAACTGATGAAGCAGGTGACTTAAACAATTACATGCGCATGGATATTTATAAAATCTTCCCAAAATTTTTTATTTTCATTAAAACTCATTTTGTTTCACGTCGTCGACGTCCGTAACGCTTGCTGTCCGGCTCAGGTCTGAGCAGTCGGCCCGCTGTGAGCATTCACCTACAGACTTGTCTGTGCCCGCGCAGACAAAATGAGATCTCACGGACGGGCGACGGGCAGTCTGGCAGACTGCCTGTGACGGACCTACACTAGGCAGACATGACACAGACCTATAGTAACGAGTTCTGGCTGTCTGCAGGCTTACCCGCGGGCATGCCTGTATAAGTGAATTCCCCGCTTTATGACAATCTGTTAAGTGTGTTGACCATAACCGGTCAAGCACATAACCAAAAACTTAACAGATTATTGTAATATTATTGTTTTATGGTGTTTCTAAATAAATTATATCATTAAATACAGTCCATTTTTATTACTTCACATCCGTAGTTATCATTATTAATCATGCTAATTAATAAAAAAATCTTTATAACTGTAATACAATGGAACTGTCAGGTGTTTTAGTTTCAATAAAAGTTGATTTTGTATGATTGTTATTTGTTAGCTCAATGGTTCTTGACTCTTTGACAAATACTTGACAAATTTATATCTTGCCTTTGATCACTCACTTAGTTATTATTACATAGTTTGTGCTATATATATGCAAATAAAACACGCATTAAATGCTTCAGCTTTCTAATTCTCATATGTAAAATTCACGGTACACTAATTTTATTAAATTTGGATTATTTCATGCACAGACAGTTTTATATACAATGAAATTTTATTGTTGATTTGTTTTTTTCTTGTAACAGTAAAGAATACGAGATAGTGGTAGCCAGGTCAGCGGCACTAGGACACACCAGTCATCACAGTCACCGACCAGAGAATAGACTGAAGAACCGTTATTTGAATATTACTGCGTGTGAGTATGATCACTATGATCAAAAACCAAACTGTTTACTCTCGAACCTGCCTTTCAAAACAGTTGAAAATATATTTTTTATAAACCTTTAGCTCGAAGGCAAAAAGAATGCACAACGCGTTCGTTCAGTGGTGCGGTATTTTAAGCAAGTTTCATGTGGACCGGTCATAGGATGGGCGACTATAAATTTAGTATCACGAATTTCTATGTGATTCGGAAAGCATAAACTATTCGTCCCGGCTGCATCTGCAGTCGTTAACGTCCTCCGATTTGCACTGGGCTCGCTGGTGGGTTATGGCCCGTTCTTCCTGTTCGATTTGATTTGATTCCATCTATAGGGAAGGTCTGTGCCCTGGCAGTGTGGACATTAACAGTGTATTACATACTAAACAAATGCCATCTGTTCCAAGGGCAGTTGAAATCCTTCAAATATTATATGAGCGTTTAAAGAAAACTACGTATCGCTATACATGCACATATGAAAATTTAGTATTGTGTTTGGTTGTGCTATAAGTTGCTGACCCTACCCCGTACAACAATAGGTTCGCAAAAATAAGTACGCCATTTATAGTGGTTTAATCACTACAATAATAATGGCGGATTACCAGATGATCTGTTTCCGCGACCAAACATCGTGTTTCGCCCATCTTTTAAATAAAATTGGTAGAGTTTATCTGAGTTGTGCTGCGTTGCGCTCCGTCATGTCGCGTCTCGTTGCAAATGCGCATTAATTAAGACGCCTTAGGATAGCGGCACATATCGTTTTATTTGAACGCTCACATAGTACTATGCGTCATGGTTCGTTTTTCGTTTACCCTAATGGTCCATTTAATCCATGCCAATAGCCGTACCCAGTCCAGTAAGTCAGTCCAGTATAATTTCAATTAATAGGAAATCGTTCTATTTTATCGGTATGGCTTGAAAATTGTCTCATATACATGAGGCCAATCTGGTACTGGATTGGCCTGATGTAAATAGGTCATGTTCTTTTCTAAGAACATATAATTATATAGATATTGTGTGTTGTGTGTGCGTATAGACGACCACTCGCGCGTGTGTGTGTCGGCGGGGGGCCGATGCGGGGCAGCGGGGTGCGTGGGGGCGGGGCGCGGGGCCGGCGCATGCGACTACGTTAACGCTAACTTCATAGACGGGATACTGCCCGCGCTAGACGCGCCTGCGCTGCGCCGTATCAGGCGGAAGATCGAGCGCTGCAAGCGACCGCAACGGTCAGTCATCATTATTTATTTTGAGTTGATTTAAAGTCTTTCAGTACAAAATTTCTTGGAAAGTTTTCGGTGATTTTTGTTATGTCTAGCACTCATGTAATTGGTCGAATTACGATTTTTTTTTGTGTTTTAGCATATTTTTGATGATTGTAATTTTCTTCCAATATTCATTTTCCAGAACGCAGTTCAGAATATCTTAAAAGTAATGAATAGAGTTCTGAGAACGTTTTCATGTAACTAGAACAGATACCTGCCCTTACTGTCTCGTTTCAAAAATCCACCTTATATAATTCAAATTAAAACTCAACTGAAATTAGAGTTTAAAATAAATCATACAAATTTGATATAGTGTAGACTTGAAGTGCTGCTGTGTGTACATCAATTAAGTTTCATTTACAGGCAACCTTCAATGAAACCCGCAAAACCCCCGCCCAATTTAGCAGAAGGCATAGAGTCTGCCTTTTTAAATATAGAATTCTCCGGTATTGTTGAGTCGGACGAACAGAACGAGGACTCTGACAGCGATCATAGTGACGATGACTGTGAGTTGGACGACGTTTATGTTGACATAGGTGAGTTATAATTATATTTCTCGTTACATTAATAACTCGTACGAATTAGCACGATACCTGTAATCCTAATTGTATTTGTCTTTAAAACCAAAAACCCGAAAAAAAAAAACGAATTGTACTTATAACATTATAAAAAATAAACTGATACCCGAATCCCTCGTAGTCACATGAATTTGAAAATCTTATGTCTAGTTTTTTCTTATTGATTCAAAAAAACTTGCGTATTTAAAAAAAAATGCTGTTGGTAAAGTGAGTAAACTTAACGTAATTTTCGCATCAAAATTTAATAAAATATATAGACATAACGTTCAGTAGCTATCAAGCAATCCCTGCCCAATTGTAAAAATATCAATTTTTATATTGACACTGATAGCTTAATAATGTGGCAATGTAAAATTGGAAATTGACTTAGGCGTCGGACAGGTTAATAATTGTCATTTCATACTATTCAATATAAAGAATATTGTTTTACTTGCCACATTCTTTTTTTCGGTCATGGTATTATACGATTCAGCTTACAAACTTTTCCCGTTAATTGTCAGACGGTGTGCCAACTAGAGTGAAATTGGAATGGCTGGTATGGAAACGACGCTATATAGCAACCCAGGGTCCAACCCCGGCGACTTTGGACGCTTTCTGGCGTATGATATGGCAACACCGAGTACACACTATAGTCATGATCACTAATCTCGTTGAACGAGGCAGGGTAAGATCTCTTTTTAAAGGTTATTTAAGTGAGAAAATTTAACTATAATTGATATAGGTACATATCGACGCTGGAAAGCAAACACGTAGTAACCCGCAAAACCAAAATTGTTCTTTAGAGCAGAAAAACTTTAATTTTTTTCCATAAATAATTCCTATAAAAGTCCATGGTAACAAATTAGGTGTTCCTTAGTCAATTTATACGGAAAGAAGATATTTTTTCTTGGAAAAATATAAAGATTTTCCATTCTAAATATCCAATTTCGTTTTGCAGGTTACTACGTGTTTGCTTTCCAGCGTCGATATATGCTTACGGCTGTCAAAAGAAGTCATTAGATTGTCTGGTCCTTACGCGGCTTCTACATAATTTCACTTTCACGTTGTACTTCATTTTTTTATTTGTTTATCCGACATTCTTTTCACATGTCCGAATAGAACATGATGTGGACTTGTCCATTCTGTCACATTTTTTTTTATATTGAAAGTAAACATTGTGCATTTACTTTAATCTTTGTCCTTGTCAGTATGACAAAAAAAAATACACAAGTTATGGAAAAGTTCGCATTAGTCCGCTCGTCTGTTCGTATTCTAAAATTTTGTTGTAAGTATCACAAATCTGATAGAAATTCCATCAAGCGTCACACGGAAGTATACGTTACTACGCAATCATCCATTGAGTGTGCAAGGTTGGATTTTATTTATATTTGTAAGTTCTTACATTGCGCAAACGATGATGTGCGACGCATCTTCCGCTAGATATGCACTATACCTAAATTTATTTTTGTATATTTATGCGATTACATGTTTGTTATATATAGCGCAAATGCGATATGTACTGGCCGGGCGGAGGACGGGGTAGCAGTACCCAACACGGCGGTGTACAGATTCGATTGCTGCACGAGGACGTACGCGCCGCATATACGGTCAGACATATGCGCGTGCGTCATGCTAGACAGGGAGATAATGATAAGGTAAACTTATAGTCATATAGCCAGTCGGTTTGCTTTTAAAACCAAGTTGCGCAATTTAATATTAGATCAGGCAGAATAATAAAAATTGCTATCTCATTTCTACTAGGCATAGTATTTATAAGTATGTATTGTATTTATTTTTATTATATTATAAAATATGTATTATGTTATATATAGTATATATGTTTGTGTTATGCTTATTTTTTATATATTATTTTTCTCTCTCAATGATTACATATGCATCTGCTTTTATCCTTTATTTAATCTCCACATCACCTAAAGGTTGACTGGCAGAGAATGCCTAAGGCGTTAAGTCCGCCTTTGTACAATTGTGCATAAAGAATTAAATAAATAAATCAGAATATTTTCATATAAAAAATGCATTTTCTTTCACTCGCGCGCAAACATTAATGCTATTGCATCTAGCCAATTTTCTTACAGTAAAGTGAATCTAAAATGTATACGATATCTATCAGTAGGCACACAGGTCAACATATGATTTTTTTTTCTATTTGGCGACCGTATTATAGTGAAATGTAAGCATCGTGCGGTAATGACAAGTGATTCCATTCCCACCTTCATTGCATTACTTAAAATGTTTTATAATTTAATGCCTTATACCCATTATTTAATTGCGTTATTATTTTATTATTACTGCCAACTATGTATAGTAAGACAATAAATTTGAATTGTAGCAAGACCCCTGTGCAGGTGTGAGTGAGACGACAATTTAATTGTTTTTACGCCTTATTATTGTTGAAATAAAGCTGATAATAAATACATTATGCTCCCTATTTATTTTTTTATTTATCTTATCATAGGAAGACTTACACCTTACAAACATAAATAATATTAAGAATAACAGAACAATAGGCTAGACATCCAGTTATAGGTCATAAGGGATACGATTAATAGTTGAAACTTACTGTAACAATAAACCTTGATTTGTTTATCATACAGAATAGCGAATCTAGTGCCAACTCTCAGGACACAGATAACGATGGTTGGCGTTCGTTAGCCCAATACCACTACACGGTGTGGCCAGATCATGGTACCCCTAGACACCCTCTAGCGGTGTTGCCATTCGTTAGAGCCGCTGCCGCCGATCCGGGGACTGTACTTGTTCACTGCAGGTAAAAATTTATATTGTATGTAGGTAAAAAATTATATTGTATTGTGTTCTGAGTGACGTATTAACGCTGCACCTTTCTTCTAGCGATGACATCACATTATTACAATAATTAATTGATTTATTTAACATACCTACTATTTTGTACTATGAATAGTCGATAAACATCTAAACTTTTTATATAAACATTTCACTTTAGCAATGTAATTTTTTTTTATAATTCTGATGGGTTAAAAATTATTTGTAAGAAATCTTTGTCTTAATTAGCGATTTTGTAATGTTAAAAAATTTTGAATAGTTACTATAGGAGACTATTAAGTTTTTACTACGTGTTATATGTAGCACGATAGGATATTCTATCACAACTCATAAAAACATTTTTATGAGTTTTTGCCCGAGATTTGAATTCTTTTTTTTACACATAAACAAGCAAGGTACATTCAGCTTAATTATAAAATTGTTTTGGTGTTTTTAGCGCCGGCGTTGGTAGAACGGGTACCTACATAGTTTTAGACGCACAATTGAATCAATTACAACTCACCGGCACTCTTTCTCCGCTCGGGTTTTTGTGCCGTGCGCGTACGCAACGCAACCACCTCGTACAAACCGAAGAACAATATGTTTTCGTCCACGACGCTCTATTAGAACACGTCCGATCAGGAAACACTGAAGTAGAATTCCCTAAAGCTAGAGAGTATCTAGTCAAACTGTTGCAACCGATTACAGATGACGAATTAGCCGTTTTAGACTTAAACGCCAATAAGAATAAGAGCGTTAATGACTTGACAAACGGTATAGAGAATGGTGAAACGTCGAGCATCAAATCTGTTAAGTCAAACTTAGCGGAATGCAGTGAAAGAGAAGAAGTTGTGGAGAATGGCAGTCAAATGTCGATAAAAACGTGTGATCTGAACAGCGAGCAGAGTAAATCGCAGTGTTCAGTGAGAGACGTCACAGATGATTCTGATACTAAAGATGTTACGGTTAACGGTGATGAGATGGAGGGCGTTTATGATCTTGCACCTCGATCTACAGATACGTATAGTAAAAAGATGATGGCTTATAATAACATGAGTGAACAGGAAAAGGAGGAAATGAGAAGGTTAGTTATTTTGTTAATAGTAAATTTTTAATTACAGTTTAAAAAAAGTAACTGGAAAGAGCAGCAGATGTTCTACTGAATATATGTATAGTTATATATTTAAAAACAAATATGCAATTTTAAATATGTTTTGCGATGGTTTACGGTAACATTGTGATATTTTCTTGATTGTAATTTTTTTTTGTACATAAACAATAAATAAAGTTTTGGAATTGTCTACTTTCATCTAGTTAAAAATTTAGTAGACTCGGCCTTTTGTCTTTTCTATTTAGAAGAAGAAAAATTTGAAATTTGAAAGATTTGATTCTTTGTTTGATTGCATCGAATAGGATCCGATTTTACTGAACCGATTTTAAAAAAAAATTCACCTACCGGTAACTACATGAGATGGGGTTGGGTTACACACGCGAAGTCGCAGCTAGTTATTAATACGTTTGTTTCATTTGTAGAGTGAATCGTGCTGAAAATTTTGCGTTACTCGAAAGAATGCGTTCGCTAGCAAACAGACATCACACATATCAGGGACCACCACCAGTGAATCTACTCGAGAAACAATTTTTGGTAAGAATTATCAATTAATAGCACAACGTTTCCTTTCTTCTCAATTATCTTCAATATTTTTCCTAACATCAACTTCTCTCAAATTAAAAAGGTCGTTAATTACGACATGTCTACCACGTACCTTACTTACATTCATTCTAATGACTATGAAAGTTTAAAATAACATATAAGTCTCATCTCGCAAATGTTTTGAAATAGTTAAATGATGTGTGTCACTTTTAGTGTTTAAAAGTCTTGCTATGAAATACCGTTGCTGAGATGGATGTATTGTTATGTTATTTTTTTAATTTATTATTTGTTAAATAAATAAAATCAAAAAAGTTTTTGTTTTAATGTTGCATTTTACATATCTTGGATAAATAAGCATAATTGACTACTTTAGTGTTGTGTAAAATAAGTATGTTAAAACTTTCGTATGATGATATTAAGCCACTATCAGATTTAGCTTTTTTCAAAAAGTGTTATTAAATAAAAGGAAAACATATTTTATGCATTAATTTTAATTTGTCCTGTAAAAACAATCAGTCACGTGATATTCCAAGCCGCGATATCACATTTCAATAAATATGAGTACTGGTTGCACTCGTAGTAGACAAACACGTTGCCGTTTCGTTTGGTTTAAAGAAATTGACGTAATACGATGCTATATCAAGACCATCTGCGTTTCGGGTCTTGTAATCGACAGATAATAAATCGGAAGGTAATTAAAAAACAATTACCACTTTAAAATTTATTTTAAAACAAAAAATTCTACATAGTTTCTCATACTTGCTTGTAGTTTATCTACTATTGTTATGTTAGTTTTATTTCTCTTTTTTTTTGTACAATAAAGAGTACAATAGTAGTTTTCAAAATATTTTTTAATTTATTGTTATAAATGTCAAGTAGCCAATTGAAGAAAACTTAATAGAATATAATATTACTTTTGTGTATTAGAGTATTTTCTTGGCAGCTAATAACTCGTTCTTGCGTGGAGCCTAGTGTATGCGCTCGAGCACCTCACAATGTAGAGAAGAATCGGCCTGGCGGCATTTTGCCCTCGGATTCTGCCAGAGTGATGCTAGTGCCCAAACCGGGAGTCGAAGGTAAGTTCGTTACATTTTTCAGTAAAAATCAAACACTATTCTATTAGAGAAGCTGTGCGGTATTGTAAAATTACAGTGTTGTATCGTTTCGTTTATTATATAGTTTATTGCGAGTGAACTAGCTCAGAGCTTGATATGCAGTGAATATTGTAATCGACATACTAACATATATACACCCGGTTTCTCAATTAAGAATTCAAAGTTAAGTACGTCTTAAACTGTACTTTAACATCACTTAAACAGGTCTTTGTTACTAATTTTAGTTTTTTTCAAATGATCAGTTGATTGCAGTTTGATAATGCTATGATTTTTTTACTTGTGAAACGTAAAACACCTATAACTTAAGTTATTGAGAAAAATCAGTTGAGTTTTTGTATTTTCTCAATTCTGAAACCGGCTTATAATTACTAATATGGTGGATGCAATGTTGAGTCTGTAAAAAAAGTAGAGTCTGTAACTCTGCCGTGCAAAGGAAAACAGTAAAGTTTGGCTGACGAAAGAACTCCCGCTACATAACTCTTAAAGGATATCGCCGAAAATGGCCCCAATACCATTAAATATTAATACTTCAATAATAATTATTGGAATCAAATATTTATTTGACACGAACAAGCTGCGATCCAAAATTAATATTTAAAAGTACTTTAACAGTAACATTTTTATTTGCAAATATTCACATTTAATATACTTAAATTCTATTGAGTCAGATGGATGTAATTTACACGTCAGATCAAGAAGATTATTTATTTTTATTAGATAACCTTTAAATCATCGAACACAAAAACATTAAATTAAATTGACCGAAAATAAACTTAAATTTACTAAAAGCGCCATCTCTTGGTGAATTTCCAACTAAAACATAAGGACATAAAAACTGAATATTATAAAAACTAAATTCATTAACTGTTGATAATTCACTCTTGTTTATTCAGAAAGATTGATATTCATACGACATATCCTAAAAACTACTTTGTTTCTATTACATTACCTTTATATTTCTCGTAAAAATATTAAAATCATGTCATTTATGTATTTAAGGCGCCATCTTTTGATGTAAACCATAAAAAAGCTATAGGTTTTTGTAATTTTAAGCTTATCAATAGGTATATTATTTAACTATAAGAATGATTTATTTGTCTATTGATTGACTTAGAAACTTTTACAAATCACAACGAAAAGCCGACTTTCTTAAAGTTGAGTTTTTTTGCTTCGACAATATAGACATCAATATCATATCATGTACGTAGAGTGCCATCTCTTGGTAGTTTTCCAAACTAATTATAACCTCAAAATGAATTCAAGTTATTATGTTTCTCTTACATTACCTTTATATTTCTCGTAACAATATTAACATCATGTCATTAATGTATTTAAGGCGCCATCTTTTGATGTAAACCAATAAAAAGCTATAGGTTTTTTAATTTTAAGCTTATCAATAGGTATATTATTTAACTATTAGAATGATTTATTTGTCTATTGATTGACTTAGAAACTTTTACAAATCACAACGAAGAACCGACTTTCTTAAAGTTGAGTTTTTTTGCTACGACAATATAGACATCAATATCATATCATGTACTTAGAGTGCCATCTCTTGGTGGTTTTCCAAACAAATTATAACCTCAAAATGAATTCTATTTTGCGTGATAATAAGTTCTAAAACTCGGTCGCGGTATAATAAATACATAGTAGGGGAGTATACTTGGTCCTACCCTCTTTCTTATTTATATTAATGGTCTTCTCCAATTAAAATTTCCTCAGAGCAAAATTGTATCATATGCTGATGACACTTGTTTACTTTTATATGAACAGAATTGGAAATCACTTTTCAATAATGCACAGAGTGCACTAAACAAGGTAGGTGGATGGCTTATAGAAAACAAGTTGTCGATCAATACAAATAAAACCAAGTATATCCAATTTTCCATTAGAGATGCCATAGCCACTTCTAGCGACCACTCAATTGTATATTACAACTGTCAATCTAATTTAGCGGATTGTAGTTGTGGTTTCATTGAAAAGGTTAATTGGAATACGTAATATCACATATCTTGGAGTAAAAATAGATAAAAATCTAAATTTTCGGGAACACATTGAAGCACTTTGTTCTAAATCTAGGCGTCTGATTTTTATCTTCAAAACACTCAGACATATACTTCAGCCTTTTCAACTTAAGCGTGTTTATTATGCTCTTTGTCAATCTATTTTCACTTATTGCATTTTGAGTTGGGGTAGAGCATCCAAGAGTATACTGAAGAGATTAGAGACTACTCAGAGAGCGATTTTGAAAGTTGCAACTTTCAAGCCTTTCCTGTTTCCAACGATAGAACTGTATCAGTTTTGTGAGGTACTTACAATTAGGCAGTTGTTTGTGTTACAAATTATTTTAAAACAACACTCTATTCTAACCTATAATCCGCAAATTGAAACGGTTCGAAGGAAGCGCACGGTGTGTAGGTGGAGGGAGGGATGTGACACTGCGTTTGGGGGTAGATTCTTCGGTTATTTGGGTCCATTTGTTTACAATAAGGTGAATAAAATATTAAACATCTATCCCTTAACTAAAATAGAATGCAAAAGAAAAGTATCAAACTGGCTACAGATACTTTCATACGAGGAAACCGAGAACTTCATGACTTCGGTGCTATGACGTTAGTAACTTATATAATTTTATCTATTATCTTTCACACTAACACACACTCACATACACACATGCATGAACACACTTTCAGTTTTTATTTCAACTCAAAATTAAGTTATATATTTACAGCTCATATTGTCATATAAGGAAATTAATTGTGAATTCTATGGGTTCTATGGGGATTTTTAGGGCGCTGTACGCTGGAATACAGGATGTCTTTTCCTACTTCGGCAACAGAGGAGTAATTTAAGTTGTTACCTATTTTTGTAAATTAACTGAGTTAAGTTAAGTTAACTAAGTTAACTAAGTTAAACATAATAAACATAATGTATTTATAACGCCCGGGTACTTAAATAATAATAAATGCAACAGTATAAAACTTTGATTTACCAATATACATTTTTTTAAGATTGTTGACATACGCAACATAGTTATTTTATTATGTTGATAGTTGATTAAATCGTCTAATCATTATTATTAAAGAAACAATTGTAGAAAAATTGTAGAAAACACTTACGTCAATAATCAATAGTGAGAATTAGTTAGTGACACACAATAAAATAAGTATTTTCCTATATTTTTTTGGCTTTGGGGCCACCAATGTATGGACGTTGAGCAATGTCCTTTATTTACTTCCAAGAATAATATTTTCATCTTTAATTAATTTACAACAACATAATGTTGATGTTGTTGTAAACACCGAAAGTGAGTCTTTAAACACGTGTTAAATAAAAATGTACTGAAATCCTTTACTGCACATGTGCTTAAAAGTATTTTTTTATTTTTTTTTGGCCGAGCACCAAAGAAATTTAAAAAAATTGATGAAAATATGTCAAACTTTAGAGACAAAAGTATTTCAAGGAGCCTAGAACGAATATTTTCAAATAAAAATGTATGACACGAAAACATGTTCAAATATCACGTTTAATTTTAACAAATAATTTTTACCTTTAATACATACTTAGTTTTATTAACCTATATATTTGTTTTATTTCCTCGCAAAAAGCCTTGAAAAATGTTGTAAGAAACTTGAGCGTAAAAGGTAAAACCTTACTTTCCGTACTCATATCTTAAATAACTATTATGTAACTGACCGTTAATCTTCTACTCTGTGCATCTGTTTTATGTATATATCAGAATGAAATCATGAATATAACAGACAGCGCGGGTATAATTTTTTTTAAAAAGAACATGTCTTTTATTTGTCCGAAATATTTGTTTTATAGCTTTCTTAAATTAAAATAAACATTTACAAGTATTATTTCAAACAGAGAAGAATACCCCTATTGCCGTGCGGGACGGGGTCTAAAGCGATAATTTCTTTGTTATACTTAAAGAATTGCGAGTTTACAAATATCCCATGTTTCTTACTGAAACAGGTAGTGAATACGTGAACGCGTCTTGGGTATGCGGCAGGCGACGTATGCGCGAGTACGCTGTGGCGCAACACCCGCGTCCGTCCGCCGCGCCAGATCTATGGCGACTACTGTGGGACCACACCGCGCAACTCGTATTATCACTTAGTGACACCAATGATCCGGTGAGTTATCTTATTACCGCTGAAATAGATGTTGGCCCGCGACTTAGCTAGTAATTGGCCACTTGACTGTTTTGGGAAAAGTATTTTAAAACTTCAGAAAACCACGTCACGTGATGTTTCGAGTCGTGTCGTCACATTTCAATAAACATGAGTACTGGTTGCACTCGTAACAAAGACGTTTGAATTTGTTGAAATGTGACGTCACATGTTGCTGTGTCATGGTCGCTCACGTTTCGGTTCTTATAATATATAAATATATTATAAATCGTAAGTTAATTTTACAGATATAAAATATACTTAATAATTTAAGTACTCTAAAATAATAAATACTACATATTTCATAATTTGATGTTAGATCTATTATTAAGTAGCTTATGTATGATGTAGTTTCCCGTAGGTGAAACAAGTTTGAAAACGGCCCAGTAGTTTCGGATCCTATTCAATGCAAATAAACAATTGAATCTTTTCCCTTCACGATATTAGTAAGTGTAGACTGGCTGATCTCACGAAATTATTGTCTTCTTATTTTTTGGATTTTGGTTTTGAATTATTTATACGTACAATAAAGTTAATAATTGCATAGCAAAATTCCTTTTTACCAAGGTGACCTAAACATAGATAGATGTTCGTATTAATAGTTAGTCATATATCACAAATACACTAACAGCCATGCATTTTCAAATAAATAATAAGTATGTATATTTGATTTGATTTTAACTACACGCGAGTTGGTTTCTTGACGAATAATGTTAATGTTATGCCTTGATTTCTATAGGAATGCGAAATATTCTGGCCGACTGAAGAGGAAAGAGAGCTGTTCGTAGCCAATTTTAGGGCGAGTTTCGTTTCGAAAGACACGTACGTCGCGTACCGAAAAGCGGACCGGAAAACGCCGGCTGAGTCCCCCGTCGCAACGGACACGAACGGTTACCGGCGGCAAGAAAGCAGTGACTGCGCCGATGACGAGCGATTAATACCGGAAAACGGATCACCTATCACAGAAAATGAGCCCGCGTACCGGTTCGATAGAACGGAGCTACGTTTAGAAAGGCTCAGTGCCGGCAACAGGGATCTGTCAGCTAGGAAATCAATAGCGAATGGCGATCTATTCTCGTCTCTATCTGAGAGCAAGAAGAACGGTCCTAAATCGCCGAGGAGTCCTTCGAAAATGTCCCTTAAAAACTTCAAGTTGAGTTCACCTACTAAGTTCAAGTTTCCCGATTGGGGCTCTAGAGTTGCTGGTTCACCTCCAGATGTAGCACCTCCCCCACCACCTGTGATACCTTCGTTGACGGTAGAAGAGGAGGCGGAGCTACGAAGACCATGTTATTTCTTCGAAAAAACAGATTCCGTTCCAGAGAGTATACCATCAGATCGCGTTATTGAAGTGACGAATGTTAGCGTGCATTCTTTGCAAGATGATTATCAGTTGAGTGTGAAATTTATCAAGTGCACCGGCTGGTTGGACGGTGATACTACGGATTACACGGCTGGCAATCCTGATACGAATGATTTAATAAGGGCAGTAAAAGAGGCACAAAGCGAGAGCGAGAGAGAATCGGCTATAGATAAACTGATAGAGCCGTATAGAGATTCGTTCGCGTTGATAGAGTTCGTCGCCGGATGTCAGATGGAGTACAAAAATGGGCCGGTCGTCGTTGTTGACAAGTAAGTGTTTATTTTATCAAGTTATGTAAAAAAAAAATGTGTTTTCCAGTTGTAGTTTTTCACATGATAAATCTTGGATTTTGTACCCCCAAAATAGTAGAACTATGTTATGACATAGTTCTGCTATTTTTTTATCAAAGGCAAGATGAAATTGTGAATGACTTTTAGGGCCAAACTAAATTTTTGATAATTTTCTTTTCCGTTCCTTTCAGACGATTGTTTCCGATGCCTATTGTTTTTCTTGAAGTACTGTAACTATTGAGTAGCTCGGTGACGTAGTGGATAAGCGGTGCAAACTGTAATTGTTGTTCTTAAGCAACTTTCGCAAGGGTCGCTCACGGGATGGGTGGCTAAAAATATTAATATCTCGAGTTACTGCATGCTTCGGAAGGCACGTAAAGCCGTCGATCCCGGGTGCATTTGCAGTCGTTAATACCCTTCAATCCGCATTGTGTCCCCTGCAGTAGAGAAGTAAAAGTGCTGATGATAATGACTGTACCCAATGATATTATATAAAAAGAGGCAGATATGTCATAAGCGCGCGCATAGTGAAGCCTCGAATAGGTGCCAATTGGCAAATCTTGCAATAAGTCCGTCTCTTTCACTTACCCGCTGGCTGGATGTTTCGTCTTTTTCGTTCGTTTTATACGTGCAACTTGTCAATGTGTGCAGCGTGGCACAGATATCACCGCAAATTAGTATCTTACGTAACGTATATTTGTTTAATATATCATTGACTGTAAACATATACTATTTAAATTATGCGCTTCGGCTATATTCGTCAAGCTTCGGCAATCCTAATGTATTTTAAAGATATCTATATAGAGTTGTTATTACATAATTAATCATTTCGCTTAAATTTAGATTAGGTCAGCCAATTTAAAAATAAAAGAATACTGTGTTTCTTGCCATCAGCTGATACCAAAATGAAAACCCCAGATTAAAGAAAATCGAATTAAGATAAATCGGTTGTACTAACTAAATAAGTTTCTGACACCAGTAAGTAGAACAGTTTTTTTTAATAAAACAAAATTCATCAATTAATATAAATTTATCAATTAATCACAATTTGATATGACTTCTATACCCGACATTTCAAACTCAGAATCATTACTGTCGCTGCTGGAACCAATGTTTTAGTACCTATATTCAAATATATATATATATATATATATATATATGGTAATTTGGCGTATTACAGCTCTATACAATTCTTAATAGTGAAATATTGTGTGCTGTCACTTCCATCGCAGTCGAGGTACTGACTAGTTTTGGCGGCTAAAACGACGATCACACATTGGTTTCTTGATCGGTTAAAGTCGTAAACACGAAATATACTGAGGCGTATAATTGAAATAGTATATGTGTACCTATTATCTACCTACTTAGTTTTCATTCGTGTCATCGTTAGATACGGCGGTTGGAAGGCGATGAGCTTCTGCACGTTAAGCGCGGCATGCGGCGGCGCTCGCGATCCCGACGCGAACGATCCGTACGCGGAATTCCGACCGCATACAGACGACGCCGCCTCGTTGTACACGTGCAGTGCACTAGCAGCGCACGCGCGCTGCGACGCTGGACAGCCGCCGCACACGCACGGCGCGCTGCTGGCGTCGTACTGCGCGCTGGCCGGCTACGGTCCTCTACTCAGGCATCGGCACAGGTTACGTATCTGTCAATTCTATATCAGTAGCTGTCATCTATATAATAAGATAAATAAAATGAATGATATATATTCTCTCACACTGCATAAATGTAAGTTACGGCTTCGAAGTTGGCTTCAAAAATTGAGCTTCATGTATACAGAGGTAATTCTAAATTCTCAATAATTAAAAAATATTTTTTTTTGTTTTTGTTTATAACTGTTTTTCTTTTTTTTCTTTTTGATGAAATAAATTTATTTATCTGTGTAATATCATTATAAATAATAGTTGTTTAAAAAAATACCGTGGTTTTGAAATTCTATAAGAAATAAAATGTCTGTCATATTTGTGTGCCTTGGGTGGGGGCGCTGACAGCTGTTACACAGTTCATACTAAAACAGCTGTCACCTAAATTCTCTTATCCTATTTGGTTGGCGCAATAAGAATAGAAAAAACTGATCTATTCTTTTTGCGCCAACCAAATAGGATAAGAGAATTTTGTAATATGGAATTGTCAATCATTATTATTTTTTATTATTCATTCACACCGATAATTAAAGATATGTTACATTTATATCATTTATGTTATATTTATAATATTTAAAAAATAAAATTTAACATGCGACTCCATTCTAACCCAGTTCTGGAGCTCAGTTTTCGCCTAGAGTATTATCACAGAATATACTCTGTGGTATTATGTTCCTTGGTACCCATGGTTTGGCTATTGTTTTAGTATGGGAGGCTTTTATCTACATACGAAGCTTTTTTAAGAAACTTCAAAATAGTGTTTACTTGTTTAATGCATTTTCCACAGCAAAGAATTCGTTTAACCCCATATGTTAAAGGTTAAACGAATTCTTGTTAAATTATCATGTAGATGTTTTCTTGAGAATTCTCCTAAAATTATAGCCTATATCACCCGCGTAGAATGTAGCTTCCTGTCGGTGAAAGTTTCGGAGTATGTGTAAATGTAAAATGGTAAACTTTTAGCTAAATAAAAAAAAGAACAATCAAATCATCCATCTTTATAATATTTGTGTTGATGCCATGAAATAGTTACGTGAAGATATTCATTAAAATGTTTTGTAATACACAGTCGTATACAACTTTGCTTTTAATTTCAGGTACTCTAGTGCATCGCATCAAGTGTCGAGGTAATAATACCGGTTGTAATCATTCAATGTTACCGGTATGCATCTATTGAATGTCTGTTGGCTGTAGTTGTGTTGTTGCAGTCGTATTTTGACTGTATTTGTATTATACAGTACTAGACATTTTTTTGTTACACTCAGACCAATAGTACTTGGAATAACGCTCCGGGTAAAGGCGGCTATAGAAATGCACGATTGGACGATATATACTCGTCATCTTTATGTGAACTACGAGTAAGCGGGTGACGCCACTTTGTAACGCATACATTGAACTTCATCAATTCATGAATTTGTCTTTTTTAAAGCGTGACAGAGGATAAAATTATCTTTTTTTTGCACGACGATATTTAATGCTAATGGTTAGAACTAACAATGATATATTAACAGTATTCTACCTTTGTAAGTGTAAGAATGCAAGTTATTTCAAAATACTATTCATATAATATACCTCTGTGTTACAAAAACAAATTCGTATTCGGCTGTTTTAAGTGATGTGTGACATATTTGAGTTTCACAAATCACTTACATATCCTCAACTGTGGGTTTGCCCGCTCGATAAACACCTTGTGGAAAAGAATGTGTATTCATTCACAGATTTATTAAGTTTAACGTATTATTATGTTTTTTTTTTTAAATGAGATCGTTATTAATCTTCGACACAATAATATGCTTGTACAATTTAATATGGCATTTATTATTTCATAGACTTCTTTTTTTTATTATAGAATAACTTTAAATTATAATCTCGGAAGCAACTGTAATGCTCAAATGTATTAAAAATATTACAATAATTTTAGCTGAAAAATTATAAATTATTTTTGTGTAAGGCTTCGTCTCTTATGAAATAAGATGTGGTTGTGTGCATTATGAATATTTACATTGTAATTATGGGGTTATTAACATCAGAAATGTGGTATTTTATAGCATTTTTTTCGAAGGTAGTTTATTCATTGAATAATTACTTGCTTCATCATTTTATAGTGAGCCATGGGGGAATTATAACAACTATATAAAATTCTCACTAGGAAAATATTTAGTGAAAATTTTAACGTGATTCAAGAGATTCATATAAACTTAGTTAAAACATCAGGCCTACTCATCTTCATTATATTCATAGCCAAAGAGATCAGCGGTTGACTCTAGGCTGGATAATTGACTGATTAAAAATACACTTCATTATGGAATAAATTTGATTATGGTTCTCAACTGGTTTGCCATGAAACAAGGGTTGTCACTCTTTTCATTAATATATTACTATAAAGGTAATAAAAATGGGACAGTCTTATTAATAAATAATAAGTTTATTTATCTCTGAATGATAATATTTTTTTTTATATATTAAGTTTTGAAAAAAAAAGAAAAGGCATTCCTATATTGTAAAATATAAAGTATAAGTAAGTATTACCTAAAATAAAAAATAAAAACAAAGTATGAGTGGCAACCCTGAATGAAATCTTGTTTCATTTCAAGGTTGAAATAACTATTTAAAAAGATCGATGCTTTAGTTTACCGAAAGGTGAGAATCGTATGAACAAGTACTCTGTGGTATCATCACTAGTTATCAATTAAATATATTACTTGTAGATAAATACCTTATACATAGCTAATATTTCAACGATAATAGAATCCAGTGCAATAGCGTTTGGAATAGACACGCAAGAAATAGATTATATTTTTTAAATACTTTTTTTTCATAGCCAAGTTTTCTGTGGTATGGATATTAATATATAGTTATAAAGTCGACGACGACTCTTTCATTGTAATTTAAATATACATGGATATGTATAATGTGTATCATACCACCAGAATTATGGATATAAGTCTTAAAGACGTTAAGAAAATATAATTTATTACTTCACATGAGGAAAACTATGTCTCTTACTTTGTGTAGAACAAGTTATATTTTCGAATGTCGATGGGCGGTAATTGTAATTCCTATTAAATCAAGTTTATGGTCCAGTATTTTTATTGTAATGATGTAATTTAGTGTATTATAAATATTATGTAAATGTGAAGACTGCTTATTAGTGGTTCGTCAATTAGGAGAGGATCGGGTTATGTTTGAAAAGCTTTGGTATAGTTCTTGACATACCGTCTAAAAAATTTACTACAGTAAAAACTTTCTTCGCTTTTATTAAATGACATAATTTATCAAGAATTATACCACAGTATATTGGCAGCAACTTTTGGTCTTATACAATTTAACAAGCGCTTAGAATTTACTTGGTATATAATTTTCTTTAGGACAAACTTAGAACAAAAGCTGTTTGCCAAAGGTGTCGATTAAAACTCAAAGCAGATTGAGAATATTAAAATAATTGAAGTGGTTGTGACCGAAAATGTTCTAACCTTATTGGAATAGTTTAAACGTAATTTGATGGAAAGGAGGTTTCATTAAAAAAAGGTTATTTTTTATTAATTAATTGTGAAATTTCTCGACAATATGTTTTTCGAGTTTTGATCGACAATATGAGAAATGTATAGGTAGATGATGATAATAAGTTTGAAAGGAAAGATCACGGCGACGGGCGACGTTTGCGTGAGAGTTTAGTGCCATTGAAGCCTTAAGTAAACGCAGTTAGATTCAATTTTGAATTTTTCATGCTAGTTTAATATTTTATCAGTAACCGAGTAGTCATTTGTTTTAGAAAATATGATTACACTGCAAACCATATTTGTTATGAAATAATGCCAATTGATATGTTGACAATTACAGTGATTAAATTCAGTGATGGTCATAAGGTTGAAATTCCAATAAATTATCATAAAGACGACCACGGCCAGTTATTGAAATTATACCTTGTATCAACTAGTGATATTGAAATGTCGGCTTTAGTTTGGTGTTGCTCGTGTGTATATTTACACGATTTTTTCTTATTTGGCGGGTGTGATTTTTCTGCCTTCTGAAATATAATTTGTTAATTTACATCGTAATTCGCATTGACAAAATGCTTTTGCCAAAACGTGATGTGACCTTTTAAGTCTATAGTTTCCATTTTTAAAATAACAGTTCCCAGAAAATTATAATCCCAAAAATATGTGATTTTACGATTTTCTAATTTTCCTTGTGTAAACCTCGTGTAAGTCTTCTTGTAGAGTGCTTTATAATAAAATATATTGAGCTGACCTTAAAGTTTTATTAGAACAGTTAGTTCCAAGGGACTATGTATTTAATCGGTACGGATTTCTAAAATGGTATACACCGCAGCACTTCAGGTTACCATAACACAACTTTCAACAATAAATTATGAATTAGTAAGTCTAAATAGGTGGTCAGAAGCCCTGCTCTAGCGGGGGCTAACCAGTAAGGGAGACTAAGAAAAATTGTCTCCCTCCGAGCTTGTTTTTGGTAACTCGGGGACAGCGGTGCAAGCAATGTAGGTTGGACTTTGTTTATATATGCAGACGCTGTGGGATTTGTTAGCATTAGACTTATCTTTGTGATCGGCATCATGTAAATGAATGTCGATTTTTTTGTAGAGTTCGTCTTGATTTTGTGAATTGAACCTTTCGTTTTATTTTACTTCAACCGATATTTTCGTATGGCTGTGCAAATCGCAAGAAACTTAATCATTAACATATTAAAGTTTAAAATTATTCGAAGTATTCGTCTGTTTTGTGTTAGCTGACGTGCTGTGTATTTAATAACGAAATATAAGTTTTGTCGTAATTGTTTAATCAGTGCGAATATAAGTTAACCGGTCACAATTTAGATAGATAAATTCGCAAACTGCCCGCCGCACGCCGATTACCAAAGATGCAATGTAAGTTATGGTCGTAGGATTGTGGAGCTGCTGGGTATCGCAAATGTATTCGCGTATTAGACTAAGCAATTAATATTTAAAGTTTGTATTTAAAAAAGTCTTGTTTATTTCTGACGAAATAATGTTAAGAATTGATATTATGTACTTGTGTGGCGTGGGCAATATTTTCTTTTTTATATATTTCAGGATTTTAACAACTTTAAAAAAGGTTGTAGTACACACATATTCGAGTCGACATCATCGGCAAATCCGCTAGGTACTTGCGTCTCATAATATGAGATTTGTTGGACGTGGATGTATTTTTTGATATATCTTCGTCTTTATTCATTTTGAAATTATCGGCGCTGTCAATGATAATCGTATGATGTCCATTTATTTTATTTCAGATATATTTCTTATGTGTTTTGGTTACTAAAAGCTGTTATTCGCGTGCCTGTGTGCCATGAAAATTAACAATATAAAATTGGGTCGTGAACCGGAAACGTCTCCTAATTTTGCGCAAGAACGTGAAACCTTTTCTTGTAGAATTCTGTTTTTCTGCATTTTTCTATTGGCTCCAAAAAACTCCAAATAAGAATATAAAATATTACCTGACAGTAGGCTGTATGCTAGATCCCTTTGCCTTAAGTAAAATAATATGAGAAGAACCCTGTAGATATGGTTAATACCGAAGCTGATTCCGAGTATGCGTATTTAATTACTATTACTAACAAAGGAATGAAGAACTGTATGGTATTGCACAAACTGCCCGCGTCAGACGATTGCCTTAAACTTTTCCGTATTATAATCGAACCAGAAATATATGTAATTTTAATTAATTAAGGACTAATTTTGACTCAATATGTGTACATTTAAACTATGTCGGAATTTCGTTCGTTTTATATTCGTTATTCGTTTTTCTAATTGTTTTATTTATGAATTATATTTATTCTTTCTTTGAGGTATATAAAAATAGATACTACTTTTGTGCATACAATGGTGTCAATTCTGTTGTATCATTAAATTAAAAAAAACTAACATTAACTTAGTTTTTATCATTATTTCATAGCGTAATAATCAAAGAAATATCAAAGTAAAAATATGTAAGTTTATTTTATTATATATGCAATTTTCACTATTCAAGATGCATTTTGACAGGGCTTGATCTAAATTTAGTATAGTTTGTGCAACAGAATTGGTGCCATTGTCTAAATTAGAATCGGCATATGGTCATTTAATCATAAAATGCGAAGTTGTGGCTTCA